TGCGGCTGCGCAGCTTCCACCACTGCCGGCCGTCCTCCAGCACCTGTGGGGCGCACCGTCAGCCCCTCCCCACATCCAGGCTCTGCGGGGCTGGGACCACCCGCTGGTTCCGCTTTACAGAGGTCGGGGCGCGCCCCAGGGTCTCCCGGAGCCCCGCTTCGCTCCATCCTCTCCGCAGCCCTGTTTCCACCCCTCCATCCCTCGCTGGGCTACTCCTCCCCACCCTGCCTCAGGGAGTCTGGGAGACCCTTCTTTTTTCTCTGAGACAGGGTCTCACTCTGCCGCCCAGGCTGGAGTGCAGTGGTACAATCACTCCCCACTGCAGCCTCGACCTCCTGGGTTCAGGCGATCCTCCCACCTCAGCCTCCCGAGTAGCTGGCACCACAGGCGCACACCACTGCATCCAGCTAATTTTTATATTTTTTGTAGAGATGGGGTTTCGAGGTGTTGCCCAGGTTTGTCTCAAATTCGTAGGCTAAAGGGATCCTCCCGCCTTGGCTTCCCAGTGCTGCAGTTACAGGCATGAACCGCCTAACCAGGCTGTGGATGTGGCCCACTCCCCCCAGCCTGCTCCACTTTCTGTCCCCCAGTGGGTGGCCTGGATTCCGGCTGGCAGATGCAGCCAGTGCAGACGTGGGGGCTCCTGGGTGGGTGTGAATGACAGGCCCCTGCTGGGTCCACATGGTGCAGACGCTCCCCCCAGCCTGGCACAGGGGTCCCTGCATGCCTTTGGAGATCCCCAAGATAGGGAGGCCCCTCCAACAGGCTGCAGATCCTGATCAGAGCCCAGGGGCGGGGACCCTGGAGAAAGGGGCAGGCAGCTGTGCCCGGTCCTGGCATCACCCAGCCTGGTCCTAGACCGCTCCCCACCTCCCCTGATAGCCCCTCCCTTGAAACCCTGCCCCGTTTCCCCCTCTTGGACCCCCTTGTCCAGCCCCCTCACCTCTAGGACCTCATCCTTGAGCACTGATAGCTCGTTGGCGTTTCGGGCTGTAAAGTCGTACAGGATCTTGACGTACTTGGCCATGGCTGGTGTTGGCTGGTAGCCCCTGTGAGGAACAGGAGGGGCTGAGGCCCAGGCTGGTGGGGGTCTTCTCTGAGACCTGGGCAGCGACTGGGGGTCAGCAGCTTCCCAGGTGCACGGCTGGCTGCCTCTTTTCTGCTCTGGAGGTCACCGTGGAGAGAGGCTGCAGGCAGCGTCAGCCGGGAATGGAAACTGTGACAGCCCCAGAGCTTTGGGGCCCTGCGTGGAGGCGGGGCAGGCAGGAGGTGGGCGTGGCGCAGGGGCCTGTGGCACAGCAAGGCTGGCCCATCCCAGGCCACCTCAGGGGTCTCTAGTCCAGCACCCCAGGGGAACCAGAGCCAGGGGCGTTCCTGGGAAATGCCAGGGTCACAGCTCCCCCCAGCTGGCCAATGAGGGCCAGCATGTCTTCAGAGCCACAGCCCCTCTGAGGACTGAACACAGCCCAAATGGTCCAGTGGAGGATGGGTCTCCAGCTCCTCTCTGTGGGGTGGGACCTGCACCTCAAAAGCGTGTGGGGGCTGCCTCTGGCTGAGGGGTCCTGGCTTTGGCATGTAGCAGGCCTGTGGCTGTCACCTGGCCAGGCCATCTGTCCGGGCCAGTGTGGCCCTGGTCATCAGGGCAGCTCCCATGTCCAGGCGCTCAGGGAAATGAAGGGGCCATGGACTGTCAGGACAGAGCCAGGGTGGACAGACCAGGAACTGAAGTCAAAGGGTAAAATGTTTCTAAGTACGGTCCTAAGCCAGGGACTATGAGAGCCAGGCTGACATTGTGGGCAAGGGAAGGCCATGCTTGCTTAGAAGATGGATTTCTGGCCCCCCTTCCCCCCAAAATTGAATCCTGGGGTGTGGCAGGGTCAGGGGCTTCCCATACAGATCCTGGACCAGGAATGGGAACAGAAGGGAAGAGGGGAGGCGAGGAAAGACAGGACTCCCAGTAGTGCCGTGGGCTTGTTCTTTGTCCTCTGTGGAAACAGTTGGGGCTGGGGGTGGAGGGAGGGGAGGGGCTTCAGTAGCCCAGGACCCCAGTCTCCTCTTGTGGCTCTACCAGAGGTTGGGCCTGAAGCAGTCCCAACAGGGTGACAGTGTTTGGTGAAACCACTCAAGCTCAGTGGTTTAGTAAGTTTCTAACCTTGGTTCTAAAACATACATGTGGATGCACAGACAAAGCTGATATATTAGGATAGAGAATGTGTGCATGACTTTTGAAATGTTTCCATTAATTATATATCATACAGTTAAAACCACTTCAAATCTGGAAAAGTGGTGTTTTAAACCGCTTGACCAATGCACTTGCTACCACCTGGTGGCAGCGTACCCATATGTGTTTAGAGCCTGTAGGTTCTGAAGGGTTTCACTTTCATGCTCCCTCACTTTGAGGGGGGCTTACCTGTGAGTATGTGGGGAGCTGACTGGTGGTAGGGCATCCCCCGTGGGGGTGGGCTCTGAAGCGGGGCTGTGCTTCTGGGAGTTTCGTACGGACTGTCGGCTCACTGGACTCACCTGTGGTGAAGGTGGGCGGCCTGAGCTAGACATGGGGCAGGGCTGGGTAAGGAGGGCAGGGGCAGGCTGGGTCCCAGGACAAGGGGGCATAAGACAGGGGCTCGGCTAATGTGCTGTGACTGATACACCACTGAAGGTGACGGAGCCTGAAGCCTGGTGATGCCGGCATGGGCTGCCTCTCCTGGCGGGGCTGGGGGCAGCTGAGCTGCAGCTGAAGGGGTGGTGGGTGGAGGTGGGCTGGGCAGGGGAGCTCTGGTGAGGGGTGGGTGTCGGGGCTGGGGAGGGGAGCTCTGGGGAGGGGTGGTGTTGGGGCTGGAGTGGGGATGGGGGCTGCTGGTGCTCTCACCTCAATGGGGGCAGACGCCAGCCCCTCCACCTCCCAGGGGGCCTCCTGCAGCACATCCACGGGGGGCTCCCAGCCACTGTGGAACTTGGGCACGTACAGGGGCACCTGCGGCTCCCGCGGCCACTCGGAGCTGGGGTGGGAGGTCCTGAAGTCAGCCCTGCCCCTCAAGAACTGGCCCACCCAGGACCCCAAAGCTGACCCCTGTGCAGTGCTGGCCCCCATGCAGCTCCGGCACCACTCCGCCCTGCCATACCGGGGCCGCATCCAGCTCTCTCCCAGCGACTCCCACAGCGACATCTCCTTAGGGACCAGGTGACCGCGCAGGAAGTCCACGGCATCTTGGGAGAGCAGTGGGCAGGAGACAGAGCGTGCGATGTCTGGGCCACCGCAGGTGTTGACGATCTGGAGCACAGCGAGGTTCAGAAGGGACTGAGGCCCACAGACCCCCGTCCAGCACCCCCGTGGCTGGCCCTCAGGAAGGGACTGTGGACCCCAGAGTGTGTGGCCACACAGCGTGAACCGGGCTGCCCAAAACGGGCACCTGCTGCCCCGACCCCGACCCCGGGGAGATAGATGCTCCAGAGACCTCTGGGCTCCCACCCCGCACGCCCCTGCTGCCCAGCCCCAGGCACCAGGTCCAGAGGCCCGAAGAGGAAGTGCACGAGCTCCGCGGCGCTGGGGTTCTGGATGTGCTTCTGCAGCTTTGCCTGGGGGCAGGAACCAGTGAGCAGGGGCCGGGGCGGGGCCTCCACCCACCCCTCACACAGACGCTGGGCCAGGGCTGAGGCCGCGGGACTCACCAGCAAGTTAATCGCCAGCTTGATTTTCTGGAAGCAGTCAACGAACTCGCCCTCAGAAGGGGGCCGTGCCCGCAGCGTGAGGACGCCCTCTGGCATGGGAGGCACCGTGTGAGCTGGGCTGGCCCTGGTCTCCCCAGCCCCTGTGCCTTGTGTCCCATGCAGCCCATCTGTGTGGGCCAGACCTTCCCCAGCTCCATGAGTGGCCCCGTCCCTGGCCCCGTCCCTGTCCCCTGCACCTGCCGGCCCCGTCCCTGGCCCCGTCCCTGGCCCCTGCACCTGCCGGCCCCTTCTTGCCCTTCTTCTTCCCCTTCTTCCGCTGGTTCAGCTGCTTGAAAGCCTCGGCCGCCTTCTGTAGCCGAGCCACAAACCACTCAATATCGTCCAGGGCGCAGTTGAGGATTTGCTGGGGTCAGAAGGGGTCAGGGGTCAGCCTCAGACACTCCCCGCTGCCCCGCCCTGCTGCAGGGATGTCCCCAAACCTGCGGAGGGGCAGCTACAGGCTGGGGACTGGCCGGAGGGGCGGCAGGGACCAGTGCCCACTGCTGGGGGCCTGGAAGGGAGGGCCACCTGCCATGCCCAGGCACCCACCGTCTCCTTCTCTATCTTCTGAGCCAGCACAGCCCGCGGCTCCTCCTCCTGCGACTCCCGACGGCGGAAACCTGATGGGGGACATGGCGGCTGCTCACGGAGCCCCTCACAACAAGCCCTGTGGAGCCCCCGCCAGCCCCTCAGCCTACCTGGCTCGCTGAGTGGCACCTGCGGGCCCACGCGATTCTTGGCCTGCGGGGAGTCCCCGCTGCGGTGCTGGAAGGGGATGGGCGCCGGGCCCTGAGGAGGGGGCAGGATGGACTGCCGCTGCCGAATCTTCTCCTGGTGTCCCCTGGAGGGTGAGGGGGTCCTGCTCAGCCCCGATGGGAACACACCTGACCCTCCCTCCCTGCCCAGCTCCTCCCCTCTCCGCCGCGCTGTGACCCTGCTCTCCCTCTGCCCTACTTCAGGGTCTGCGGCCGCATCTTCTTGCCCAGCCGGCAGTCGGCCAACGCGCTCTCGATGTCCTCGTGCACCAGCTCTGCCTGGGAAACCGGGCATCAGGTGGCCGGGAGGGCGGGGCACAACGCTGCGGAGCCCCGCCCTGCCCTGCCCGGTACAGCCTCACCTCCACCTCGTCGCAGTGGAAGAAGTGGACGTCGGGCTTGCTCTGCTCCGAGTCCTGGCACACAAGCAGCAGCACGGACGGGTAGCGCAGCTGGTTCAGCACCGTCTGGCTGCGCTGCACGGTGGGCAGCGGGAAGTTTTCCAGCTCCTCCTGCGGGGACACGTCGCGCCAACACGACTCACACCGGCAGGGAGTGACCGGAGCTGTGAGCACCCATGAGGCACCGGTAGGGAGTGGCCGGAACTGTGGACACACCTGGAGCACAAGCCCCTCTGGCGCCGCTGGGAAATGGGCTCCCAAAGATGAGAATGAGGCCCCGACACGCCCCGCTGCTGTGCAGCAAGGCTGACCCAGGCTTCCAAACTTCCCTGGACTCAGTTCCATACGGCCCTCTCTGCCCACCCTCGTCCCATTCTCTTCCAGGGAGCAGAATGATGGGGCATGGCCGGCCCTGCAGAGAGGCCTGGCCGCACATGTGGGCTGCAGCCAGTGGCTGCCGCCGCCTCTACCCACTGTGCTCCCTGTCCCCACCAGCGCTGGGCCCCACCTGAGACTCGATGTCCAGCAGCCGCAGTGACTGGTCATTCACCTGCAGGAGCATCTCCTGGGTCCAGATCTTCTCCTTGGAGCTCAGCTGCACCAGCTTCCGGATGGCGTCCTCCACAGACGTGATGGCTTCGCTCTTGTCCATGATGAAAGTGGCCAGGTGCTGGGGGTGGGTGGGCGGTCACTGTTAGGCAGAGCCCTCCTTGTGCTGAAAGCCCAGCCCCCAGGGGCCACAGCCTGGGGGGCTGAGGGGCCACAGCCAACCCTGGGTAGGGTGGTAGGACGGGGGCCCAGCCCCGCCTTTGGTGGGGGGAGTCTCTATTCTGCCTTGGCAGGCATCTGTGGGGACCATGCTTGTGTCCTGACAATATCCTCAAAAGAATTCCAATTGCTGCCCGGCCCCGTGCCACCATCCTCACCTGCCCACCTCCTGGCACGGGCTCAGCACCCGCCCACTGCACTGGCTGCGCCAGCCTCCCCAGCTCTCTTCCTTCTCAGACATCCCCTGTGTGGCCACCTGGCTACAATGCCAGCCGTCACCCCATCCCCAACTGCCCTGTTTCCTGAATCAGACCCAACGTCGCGCTGCACGCAGCGTGCTACATGTCCGGCGTGCTCGCTACTCCCAGGCGGGGTTCCAGTTGCCACTTGCTAAGCTGTGTCCCCAGGTCCAGGGCAGAGCCTGGTGCACAGCGGACCCTCAACAAGTGCGTATGGGATGCACCCATCCCTGAGGATCTGCGGCCAGCCTGGCCCTTGCCCTGTGCCCTCCATCTCTCCTCTTTCCAGGCCTGGCTCAGGCCCCCTCCTCCAGCCAAGCTGCCCTGTTCGCTGAGTAA